TTTAAAAATTATTTCAAGTTTCTTAATTATTACAATTTAATTTTTAATCTCAACTAAAATGCCTAGTAAATTTATTTCTGCTGGGATTTTATTTTTACAAATTCGAGTCCAAATTGTAATTTTTATTATTTTCGCTTACGAAGCAGCGGGCTAGTGAGATAAATTGTAAATATCGCTTTAATATTTAGGTAAATTTTCCTTTTTCATTTTCTCCGTGTAAGTTACAAGTAGCTTTTCTATAAGATTTGACATTCGATAAATTTTTATACAGTAACAACTCCCTCTCGATTTTTAATGTTTTCATTCAACACCAAAATGTAGCGTTTAATAAAAAAAGCTTATTTATTAATGCCTGAAATGAATGGACTATGATGTCTGTCTTCTACCCCTGCGCTGCGCAATTAAATTTCTTTTTAAATAGATTGAACCGCATTACCCCATAACAAACTTCATTTATATAATATTTGAAATATGTATTTTGATATGAAGACATATGAATAATATTGCAACAACCATCACTTTAGCCGGTTTAAACGCGAATTTCAAATGATCCTTACGCAAAATTGGATCACTGTTACAGTTCCCTTCCTTTTTACTTTTGTATGAAGGTAATAACTTTAATGATTGGACAAAATTTGTACACTGTATTTACTACTTTGAATCTTGAATCTTGAATCCCAGTGAATTTTGAATTTGCCTGATTTAATTTTAAAGGCGCATCTGAATTCAATAAAATCGAGATCGACTCAAAAATACTCGAGTTTGAAACAAACAATGGGGAGCCGGGAAATATTAAATATACTATATATATTGTAATTATATCGTATCCAGCAAGTAGATTCTGAATATTTCGTTTTATGCTTCGAAAAGAAAACCGAAAACTCAAGGATCATTCGTCGTAGTGGTTCATTGCACTACGATACAGCAATTTTACTGATCCGACAGAGATCCGTGACCCACCATTCAAAATTTTTGGAGACGGTTAATTTCACTCTTTTTAAACATCCGAAATAATGAACCGGATCAGATACAGGGCTAAATCAGGCTTGAAAGGGAAAAGATGCTAATGAATCTGTGGAATCTACGAGGTAATTAATTTAAGGTGCTGTAGAGCATTACTAGTGTTATTTATTGGGGGTATTTAAATCTAAAACGTGAAACCCTGGAGGAATTCAGCCCAAATTAGTTGAGCGAGAGTTTTCTATTCTATTGGTGTTAAGTATATGTAACATTAGGAAAATAGGTACACGTTATTGTTGTGATGATTCACGTTTAACCAAATAGGTACACATGTAGTTAAAATTAAAATGCATTTACATGTTTTGAGCATGATTAGCTCTTTATAAATTCTGACTGGCTTGTTTTGAATGCAGCCACACTTGGTGACCCTCTTCTTCTCCCGTTACGAACAGGTGAGATAATTTAAATTTATTAATTTTATATGTTCTAAATAGCTCTTTCCTTTTTCACAACATATAAATAAATACAACACACAGGCTCCTCATTACTACATCTTAATCGGAATTTAGTTTGAAACTCAGATAGATTTATAGTTAGGAAAACAAATCAACTTAAGCAAACACTGAATAGGTTAGTTTTCATAGTGCTGCAGAGTTCTGTAGGTATTGTACCTACTTGAACACGAAAGTTCAATGTTTATGCACAGTAAACATTTTACATTGTTCATGGATATATTGATTTTGCTAAAGTGCAGTATAAGCAACTATCACACCTCTGCTCTTGTGAATCAGTACCTAGTAATGACGCTCAGGAGTTTCTAGTGAACTAATTGACCTGTGAAATGCGAACGAAGGGTGTCAACTCAAGCACTACGTGACTCTGGACGAATTTGTATGTCGTCGTTCTATTACGGTCACAGTGAATAGCACCAGTCAATTTGGCATTCATAAGCAACCTTATAAACAATTATTATTAATTCTACCAAGGGCTTAAGTTGACCCAGTACCCTAGACAAAAATTTTCAGTCTCTCTCCAGTCCCTCAGAGTCTTTTAGCGTCTCTAAAAGCGTCTCTCGCAGTCTCTCAGCTGTTTCCTAGATGTTTTTATGGATCTCTCACAGTCTCTGTATGAGAGACTCGAACGATAAAATTGTTAATTCAGAGATTCGAGTCTCGAGACTGGATACGAAATGAGTATCTCTCTGTGAGCAACTCGAATCTCTCGTTCAGAGACGCTAAACAATTTTTTTGACAGTCTCTCGACAGTCTCTCTCAGCGACACCAGAGAGACTGAACATTTTTATCTCGGGATACCTTTGATTTTTGTATTGCTCTAACTACTTCCTAATGACTTCATCATTATAAGGTCGTCAGTCCTGGACGCGCACCTCCACTCATTTCTATCCTCAACTAATCTTCTCATTTCCCTAAAACTAGAACATTCCACATCCTTAACTATTTGTGAGTAGTAATAATCTAATGTAGTTCTATCTCTACTCCTCCTAATTCCTGTTTCTGCTTCTAATATGTCTCTGACTAGGCCTTTGTGCTACCGACCTATCTCGTCTATTTCTTATTGACTTCCAAAGAGTCCTCTGTTCTCCTATTCTTTCTAATACCTCTTCATTTCTAACCTTCTCTATCCACGGTATCCTCATCATTCACCTGTAACACCACATTTCGAACGCTTCTAACCTTTTATTTTCCGCCGCGTTAACGTTTCGCACCCGTACAGCGCCGCGCTTCAAACACGACTGGACCCTGTGCTATCTTCTGCTTTATATCCCTTTGTATAACTTAACTACAAATTATTCCAAGCACTTCAATTTTTATTACAGTATTCAAAACGTCTCAAATAGCAAAAAAGCATTCATAACTTTTGCAGTTCATCTAACTCGGTTTTTTACGTTCCTCGACTGTTGACGCCTTTTTTCTTTTTATTTTTATATTGTTGGTATAACACTTCAGTTTCTTACACTGCTTTTCCTATTTTGTATGCTTGATGATGAAAATACGAATGAAGGCCGTTTGTGTGCAGCGGCAGTCCTCGGAGCAAGATTCAGAGGCGGCGACGGATATTTCGGAGCGGATGCCAACGGCAACTTGGATCCAGAAGCGCCCCCAGCCAACTACGGACGCCGCCGTTCCAGAGCCGTCCTCTACCAACTTTCCGGCCATTACAAACAGGACAAGATGAAGTCCAAACTTAAACTTAACAACGTAAGTTCATCGTTCATCTTCTATATATATTGTATTCATTTCCATATTAATTTAATTTGGATACAGGTAATTAAATATTAAAAAATATTAGAAGCTCAAGCAGAAAAAACGCCTCAAGAAGTCTAAAGATATAAATAGTAATATTATTATTAATAAAATAATTCGAAGTAGTCTGTATTCTGTCGAAACTGCCAGACGCGGAACGCGATTTCGATCTTTTGGATCTCATCAGCGCGTCGCAGGCAGCTCCTACAGAACACAGACCAACTTTTACCTGCTGTCTTAACAGTGCGTTTTAGAAAATACTACAAATGGCGCAGTAAACGCCATCTGTCGCACGATGCTACATTTTAGGATTACGTATGCTCCAACAAGGTCCACTTGTGTGGATATCTACTTGCTGAAAACGAATCCCGACGTAGCCAACCTCAACGTCATAGGCACGTTAGCTTAATCGAATAAAATAATTCGAAGTGGTCTGTATTATGTAATATTATTATTATTTAAAAAGCGGTTCAAACTTTTTCATTGGTTTCTACCGAATTTGATGTATAATTTTTTAATAATCTCTCCTGACAGATTTAAAAGAATGTAGAGTTTCTTGTCGCAAAAGAAAAAGCAAAATTCTACTCTAATATTATTAAAATGAAGGACTAAAGGAAAATGTAATAAGTTTTTTTTATTTCAGCAAAGTTAATTACAAATATACGTAGGAACAACAGCGATGCGTACTTAGGTCGTACGATACATAGGTCACAGAATCGTCGAACCAATGTGTAACCATTATTAGAAATTTTTATTAGTTGATTTCAATGCATTAAAGTAAATTAATTTTTGAATTACTTAATTTTTACCACTACATATAACTTGATATTGAAACCAACCTTAAGAAAAATTCTCCCAAAATAGGTCCTTTTCAAAAAAGTAAAGTATATCAGCTGTTTTATAAAGAATGTGAGGAACCTACATAGGAAAAAATGGACGATCCTTAAAAACTAGAATTAATGAACACGCTTTTACTATATTAGTATAAGACTTAAAAAAACACGTTTTTCCGAACATTGTATGGACAATAATTATAATCTGAATATTAAATGTATTGCAACTGTTTAAAATTTAAGGTTTCATAGTACAATACTTCTAATAATGGCGTTTTTAGACCGAGATAATACGAGTAAAACATTTCATAGTGGGTTTTTCTAATTGAAATTGCATTGTAATTCACAAAGCTTGCATAAAGGAAAGTTTTAAATGTTTTTTATTTTAATTTTATATGTGGGTATCTTTTAAAAGAGAGAGTTCGAAGAAAGCTATAAATGTGCTTAAATTCTACAAAAATGGAAGGAATGAATTTCAATTGTTTTTTTATATTGCAGTAGTAAGAACTAACTGTATAGATAAATTTTAAAGGTAACTATAATATGCCACAATTACGATAATTAGGTGGTTCAGTTACATTGGAACCAAATGCGTACATATACAGTAGCTACATCACAAACACATGAAACACAATCAAATATTGTAGCCGATACTCTATAGATCTATATCAACTAACACTACTTTACAAAATTAAATTGAAGTGAAACGACCAGCAATACTGTTAAGTTCTCTTTACTGAACAATACATGTACAACTTTAATGGATTAACATTACAACTACATATATTGATATAAAATTACGAATTATACGAGCACCTAAAAGTTACGTGCTTTTACTTAATTGAAATAATTGTTAACATAAACTAAAATTGTGGTAACAATCATTACCAACAAAACATTATATGAGATTTGCTCTAAAATTTGTTTTTTAAAACAGTTAACATGAAAATTAATGTGATGCGCTTTTATACGGGGATACCTAGTAGAGTCCGCAAAACATTTTTGAAAATATTAGTTTTATATATATAGTAAGACATTTTCTGGAATAAAAGCCAAGTCGGAAAATATTTCCTTGGATCTGCTCCATAAAACAGAAAGACTAACAAAATAAGTGATCCGCCATTTTTATTATGATCATGGAATTGTTAGTAAACTACTAGGAAGGTTACAACGTACTACGACCGAAAAAATTAGTAGATAAGTACCTCATTGAAATGTTTATGTGAAATACATGCAGAATGACTAAGAGAAAGCAGGTGAAATAGCTGGTATGAGTAACATCAAGAAAAGGGAATTTGAACATATTCCGTATGAAAAATTGAATGTAGGAAAGCTTTCAGAACGATAAATTTATAATCGCCGGGAGAAATGGCCACGTGTACATAAAAAGATTTAAAAAACCCGCACACGAAGCAAAGTGGTAGATTGTTTTGAGCCTACAAAATTTCAGGAGGTAAAAAATGCAAATTATAACAAACCCGTTATCAAAAGAGTTGTGTTGAGTCGTAATATTCATTTTGTTATTTGTATATTTTTCAGCATCTATCTTTATATTTCTAATGGAATGGTTATTTTATTATTATTACAATATTTTCAATTGTATACATTTTACAGCAGTTATTTGGGAATTGTAGTTTGCCGACCTTCGAAGTTCAACAAATTTTATTGACCATTGTGTCGAGTGTCAATTCTAATATTCAGTTTCTTCTATTCAAACACGAACACCCCAATAAAGTTCAATTGGGTTTTTTCTTGGGTCTGTTTCCCAGAAGTCAAGGCAAACGGCAAACTTCCGAAGACGCGTTGCACGTGTGTTGGTACCCCAAGTACCGGTTAATGCCCTTCTGGTACTCCCTCTATCATTCTACCCCTCTGTATCTCTGTCTTCCTCTCATAACAAATCACGATCTTCTACTTTTTCCCCAACCAATCAACTTCAGAACTTCAGTCATTTTCAGACAGTTGCAATTTGGTCTTCAATCTAATCAATCATTCGCTCTTTCGGTTCGTGTTCTATTTTCATTCCTTTCCAATTTTATACAGTCCACTCTCTCCATAAGTTCAGTTTCTTTTGTTATCAATTTGTTTTTGTTAAAGTGTTGTTAATTCTTAAGTGTTGTAAATATATAGTCAAAAAACCAAGTGCAGTTTCGTATCAACAATTACATTTGCGTAATTCCTAAAACTGGCCCATACAACAAGTTGAAAGTTGTTTTTGATAAAAAATATGGAAACTGATCCATAATAAATTAATTTCTTTTAACTGACATTATTCTACAAATATTATATATATACAACTAGAAAAAACTGTGAAACCAATTTCGATCTGTTCTTTGCGAAGAACTCCTTTTTAAGTTAAAACCGTGATTTAATTTAGTCAACTAACACGTTGGGTTACTTAAATAAATCTTTTAGTCAAGGGAATGTGACCCGTCAGGGGGGAGGGAGATCTTCAAAAATACAACGCTTGATCACAGAGGCGGGGGGGGGGTTATTTTTTCGTCACAGTCAATATCCTCTAGGCTAGGAAAATCTCGTGCTTTTTTTATCTATATTTCAAACTTTCTGTTTGCAAAAAATGATTTAAAACTATATTTATGAATTACTACGTGAAAACTAGAGGAAGAGGAGAGTTTTGACGTGTATTATGGGTGGTCACCGAGGGTAAAAAATAGGTCCGTAGTGTGGGTACGTTCTCTAACGATTTACGACTGCTAAAAAAGCCTCATAGAACTAAAGCATATTATACTGATCGTGAGTTGAAATTCTGTAAGTTATCCAAAAAAGTGATCTTTGCTGTTTCCATTGCTCCTAGGTACTTATAAATAGCATATTGATTTGAATCACCGTATGTGATTAGTAGATAAATCAAGAGAAAGTAAACATCCATAAATTAAAATAAAATTATATAATGCTTTTGTGATTTGAAACTGACAGAGCAACATAATTTCAAATAGGAAATAACTAAATGGTAAGGGTAATGGGACTCCAGTTTCAGACAAAAGACATCCGAGCGTCCTGAACTATGCTACTCTGACCAAAATGTCAAAGAAATGAAAGTGACCTTACGAAGAAACGATTTTTTAGGAAAAAAGCCTCGTCGTGATTGCCTATTTATTCATCAGTAAACCGCTATTTGCGTAAATTCTACATTCCTACGGGAATTTAGTGTCAAGTTGGAATTTTTGCAACGTTTCTCCTTCGTCATGTTTCGAAGCTTGAAATCTCTAAGATCCGTTTCACACACGCGTATAAACGCTCGTCAGCCTGCAAGGGTTTTCACAAAGGTGTGTTTGGTTGGCCGAGCAACGGAATACTAGAATCTCGCTGCGTTCTCAACATCTCCACGACCTTCTATTTTCACAGACGGAAAATCCTTCTTATACTTTTTCAACGACGCATTTGGTGAACTTAGTATTAGTACAGCAATAATGAACAACAATAAGGAAGTCTATCTGCGTTGCCATCATCTGTATGCATTAACTGAAGAAAAACTAGAAGATAACGGCAACCCAGCATCTTTTACAGACAGATGGGAGTGCTTTATGTGAATACACTCATAAGGCTAATGGACCTCTGGCTCGCGTTCTAAACGCGGTATCGGAGGGCCATGCTGTTATACATCGTTTAGTTTCTGTAGCGATGTGACCTTCAGTTTGACCGGCGCAAAGTAGAAAAGAACAACACTAGGCCAGAAAAGGAAGGAGACAACTCTCGGCCAAACTCTTAACCGGTGAGGAGCGTATAATCCGTACAGTACTGCACGGAAAAATTGATCATTTTATCCACTACAATTGCATTGCTCAAATATGCTGTTATTGGTACCATTTACTACTGAAAATATCAACGAGATGTTTATTTATATGTGAAGACATATTAAAGGCTTTAACGCTTGTTTTCGACTCGCACTACTATTCATGATTGAACAAAAATTTTGACAGGTACTGTATGAAAAAGTATGTTTAATGAACAAGAGTCGAGAGTACAATGAGCTATTTTATCCCTACCTACGATTTTGCCAGCGTCCATCAAAAAAATTGGAAGGGGCACATCGCTAGAGAAAGTAAACGAAGTATAAAATCAGCATGCCTATGAAACGCTTACATATAAATATGTCTATCT